GGGGTTGGGGTGTTTGGGGTTTAGGGGTTGGGGTGAGTTTGGGGTTCAGGCTTGAGGGGTTTCAGGGTCTACATAATTTTGAGTCAGAGGGGTTTAGGGTTTGGAAGTCACGTTCCCCTTACTGCAAGCTCGGTCTCACCGTCTCTTCTAGGTTTTGAGCCCATTTAAGCATACTACAGACAATTGGGTGCAGAACAGTGGGTAATGCTATGTTTACTGTCCGTTATCGTCTCCATGCTGGGCAGTGTTACACTCATCTGAAACCTCCAGCCCTAAAAGCCCCCGAAACTCTTAAACCCTAAATCCGAAAACCCATCCCGCCGAAGCCTCAATTCCCAGAGACTCCAAAACCCCTAAATTAAGGAATATACCTTAAATCAGAATAGGAACCCTAATATGAGTTAAGGTATATTCCTTAGTTAAGGGGTTTTGGAGCCTCTGAGAACTTCGGATTCGAGCTTCGGGGTTCAGGGCTTAGGGGTTTAGGGCTTAGGGTTTAGGAGTTTAAGGTTTAGGGTTTAGGGGGGTTCCGGACCTAAACCCTAAACCCTAAACCCTAAACCCTAAACCCTAAACCGTGAGTTCCGGAGCTCAGCGACGTGACGACGAGGCGCCGACGCCGAGATTAAAGCTGCCGGCGACCAGAAGGCGCAGAGCTGAATAATAGAACCCTAAAGACCCTAAACCCTAAACCCTAAACCCTAGCCACGGTTTAGGGTTTAGGGTTTAGGGTTTAGGGTTTAGGGTTTAGGGTTTAGGGTTTAGGGTTGAGGGCTGGCTGAAAGTACAAAGAAACATGCAGGCAGATGTGTGTGCGTGGCTTGTCAGTGCAGGCCGCTGTGTTTGTTGGACCTTTTGGAAGTATATGAGATATTCCGAAAATTAGGGTACCTTATCTTGGGGTCCTTATAATAAGGATCCTATTAATTAGAGTACTATCTTAGGGTTCCCTGATTTCGGAAACCCCCATATAGTTGCCTTACCGCCTTGCTGTAAGACAGACCATCATGGATCACCGGTAACAGAATCATACACAAGACCAGCATGCTGGCTGCTGGTATGGCAGCCGACCAACTATACCTAGTAGCACCTTCGCTGAGCTAGTTTTTGACCTAGGTAGTCTGCTTTCGCTTGGAATTCATGCTCGGTTTACTTCGTGGTGTCTTGCTGTCTGAGTTTTCGTACTCTAGCAGTAGACGCGGCTTGAGGCAATGCTTGTTCAGGGCCGGTCCGTTTCTGACAACATCGTGGATGTCTTCACAGGTGAACAGAGGATGGGACAAAGGAGCACGGAAGGCCAAGTAAGGAACTAATGATGGTAGAAGAGGGACGGGTAGGACAGGGGAATACTGAGAGCGAGCTGTTTACGCAGCAGTGCTTCTTAAAAAGCTGAAACCATGGAGAAAGCGAAGGGAGAAGTGGATGGAATCGCAGCATCTGCTCATCTGCCCCGCAGACTCAGACCTACTATCCGAGAGAATTGGCACCACTGACCTACTCGAATGGGGCCTAAATAATTACCAATACTATTTTGGGAGGGGTTCCTTTTATAAATAGTGTATACTCACCCCAAAACCCCATTCTAATTATTGAGGCCCCTACCCAAAGGGTCCAAGTTATAGTATGGTATATACTTTTGGGGCCCAAATACCTACAAAGTAGCTACCATATTAATACTTGGACCCTTTGGGCTATAGTATGTGCAGGTTTTTGGACACTGATCCTTTGCTCACTGCTGCCGCGACCACCAGGCTGCCACTGTCGTCAACGACACAGAAATTCGGAGTCTTATCATCCAGGCAGAGGGAGAGGGACCTTAAGGACGAAATGAAGCCCAAAAGGGTTTAAGGTTCATATACCATATAGGGATTCATAGTACAAGGGTAAATAGCCCCTACTTTTAAGGGTCATTTCGTCCTTTAGGGAGGGTGAATTGTCCGCCTCTTAACCCAGCGTAGCGCCAATCATGTCTTGTGGCAGGGCCTGACGCAGCAATACGGCCGGGACCTCAACTGATTCGAGACTACCTCACATCGTGTGAGTTGCACTCTGCGCAGCTGCAGATACAGTTTCTGAAAACCCGCGCTAAAAATCCCCAGGCCCTCAACCCAAAGGCCTAAACACCTGGCCCTGAACCCCAAACCCTAAACCCCTGACACTCCAAGAGGCCCGAAACCCAAAACCCCTGAGATCCCCAAGAGGCCCCAAAGCCCAAACCCCCTGAGGTTTAGGCTTTAGGATTTAGGGTTTAGGCCCCAAACCCAAAACCCCTGAGATCCCAACAGACCCCTAAACCCTAAACCCTAAACCCTAAACCCTAAACCCTAAACCCTAAACCCTAAACCCTAAACCCTAAACCCTAACCCTAAACCCCTGAGATCCCAACAGACCCCAAACCGACGGGGCTTCTTCCTGGCGAGTGCCTGGAGGTGCGGCGAGAAGTTTCGGGTCGCTGGAGGCGGCCATGGACGTAAAGTCCCTGCCTTTGTGCGGTTCAGGTCTGAGGGTTTGGGGTCTAGGGTTTAGGGTTTAGGGTTTGGGGTTGAGGGTTTAGGGTTTAGGGTTTGGGGTTTAGGGGTTTAGGGTTTAGGGTTCAGGGGTCTCTAGGGTTTTGGGGTTTCGGGTTTAGGGCGGGGTTTGGGGTTTGGGGCTTAGGGTTTGGGCTGATCTATCTTTCCCTACTTAATAGATATAGTATCACTATATCTTTTTAGGTATATTAGAGTATTCTATACCATAATCCACTACAGTATACTGCAACATGCGATAGCCGACCATGAGAGAGATCGTGGTGTGAGGCTCGCCCAAGCTGTCCCAGGGAAGAGAAGCAAGATGAAGAACGAAAGTGTAGAGATGCACTTTCTTTCATCATGAGCTTTTGTCAAGCTTAGACCTTGAACTTGCAATCCCAAAGCCTAAACCCTAAACCCTTCACCGTGATCGCAAGCAGCGCTCAGGTGCGGTGCCGACTTGCAAAAGCTCGTGGAGTTTCACCATCTCAGCACCCCGGCCGGAGCCGAATGGGCAGACTGGGTTTACCCTTGCGCTATCCTTAGGGACGAAATTTATCCTTAAAAGGGTTTCAGGTTCATATAAAAATATAGGGAGTCATAGTATAAGTGTATAGGGCCCACTACTTGTAAGGGTCATTTGGTCCCCAAGGATGATTCTCTGAATGGCAACTGTTCCGCACCTTAACCCTTGTCGGGCACAATTCGCCCTGGAGGGTGTGTGCTGGTATCAATGTAGCATCTTAATCTTGTATGAGCAAGTATCATGAGATAGCCACTCGTCACTGGCATGAGCACCTAGTGTAAAATACACTCCAGACATCACTGTAACCCCCCAAGCCCATCAATATCATCTTGCAGGCAAGCATCATCATCATCATCATCATCATCATCATCATCCTCATCATCATCATCATCATCAAATCAAGCTTGCAGCTGTTATAAACACAGTGCGCGAAAGCCTGTGGAATTTTATGTGGTCTCTATTCGCAGGACTTCTCTGATGCGCATCAAGCAGCCTCTCCATTCATTTCAGCCGGCCCAGCCATCCTATGTTATTGTACACTGTGGATGACCGGCTCGCACGATTGGGTGTAGGGTTTGGGGTTTAGGGTCCAGGCCAAGCATGGGGTCTATAGGTCCCTGTCGAAGTTGGGGGTTCAAGGTGGTAATCTTTGAGCTCATGTACCTTGCACTAAGAAGCCGAAATCCTAAACCCTAACCCTCAACCCCAAGCCGCTATCCTAAACACGGACCCCTATGCACAGGGTGCAGGCATGTACCCCTTCCGCCCTTACCGAGGACCAAAGGGGCTTTCGAAAGGTCCATGCCTATGCACTGATAGAGAAGCCGGAGGAATTGCCAATGCTGTTTCTTAGGGCTCCTAACGATATAGTTCGAACTAATCTTTCTTAGGGTTCCTAACGATTTTGCTTGAACTAATTTCAATATACCCGAAGCCTTCTTCTAATACCAAGGTGATGAGTTCCGACGCGATGACGATCTCTTTCTTGACTACTTCGATGTGGCGATGCTGGCATGGTTCGAGAATGCAGGAAGAAGACACCATAAGCCCTAAAGCCTAAACCCCTAAACCCTAAACCCCTAAGCCCTAAACCCCTAAACCCTAAATCCCTAAGCCCTAAATCCCTTAACCCCTAAACCCTAAACCCTAAACCCTTAAAACAAAAAAACGCTTTTGTGGTTCCATGGCGGCGATACGCAGGTTGACCGCTTTATCAGGGCTTCGAGGTTCCTTTGCCACCTTTTCGTGGAAGCTCTTAGCTCTGAAGACGGTTTAGGGTTTGGCGTATAGGGTGTAGGGTATAGGGTTTAGGGTTTGGGGTTTAGGGTTTAGGGTATAGGGGTATAGGGTTTAGGGTTTAGGGAAAAGGGTTTGGGGTATACGGTTTGGGGTATAGGGTTTAGGATATAGGGTTTAGGGTTTAGGGTATAGGGTTTGGGGTATAGGATTTATAAAGGTTATAGGGTTTAGGGTTCAGGGTATGGGGTTTAGGGTTTAGGGAGCCACATGGCTCCCAAGATGATCCTCACATGTACTATCTCAGCCACTGCTGCTGCTAGTACTGCTGCGGCTGACATGCTCTTGGGTAGTTCTCTATATTTGGGTCCCTTTTGGGGTCCTTTTTATAAGGGTGCCGTACTATATTGGGGACCCAAAAAGGGACCCTAATTCAGAGAACTACCACTTACTAACGCTGCCATGGTTTAGAACCTTGAAGATCGACAAGCCGTGAGGCAGTGGATCGTTTCGGATCCCTCGTGGCCGAGTACTCTCAAGCAGAGGCCCTTTTGAAGCAGACTTATTTCGTTTTTTTTCAAATAGCTCTAGCGTCATCAGGGAGAAATTCTTTCGATGCGCTTCTATATATATACATATATATATATATATATGCACACCTTCTGGCATGAGGAAGAACTATTAGGCACATTAGGTTGCTTGTTGGACATCTCCACCATTTGTCTCCTCTGCACCACCACAGACCCCAAACGCTCACTCGTTGAGGGGTCGTGGCCAGCAGGAGACAAGCGCTACCCAGCAGCCCGACAAGATTGTCAGCCCATGGGCTCCTCCAACTACAACCGAGGAACCGCAATACACCAAACATCCGGCATGTCGGAAGTATCAGGATTCCATGAAGAGGTGCAGCACGCACTGGAACCACTGGGGTAAGGGGTTCAGGGATTGAGGGTTTAGTTTTTCGACCGCAGGGCGACTTTCCAACCGCCGTCGTTTGGCCTTGTCTCTTCTCTTACCACAGTCCTGACTGTCGCCAAAGCTGCCAGAGAGCACGTCTGTGTTCGACGAGGACCGCAAGGGTGTAAGTAAGTCCTTGGCCCAGAATCATGCCCAAGAGAAGAAAAACGGCGCCGCAATTAGTACAGCAACGCTAATCCTGCTAATCCTTGCTGTTCGTTTGCAAGCTGTTGCTGTTATCTTGCTGTTGGTGCACTAAACCCTAAAGCCTTAACCCTTAAGCACGATGAGTTGAGAAGCACCGTGTGGATTGCCGGAGGCCGTCATCGCACCGGGGTCGGTCCTGAGGACTTGCCTTCAGCTTCTGAACAGTCTGCAGCTTGAGTTGCTGTGAACCCAGAGACTCCATTAATTAAGAATATACCGTAAAATATAATAGGAACCCTAATATGATCTAAGGTATATTCCTTAATTAAGGGGTTTTGGAGTCTCTGGGAATCGATCACTGCTATCTTGGCTCCGCGGGACGAGAACTCCGTTAGTTCGGAAATGGCCGAGGTACACTCCGTGATGACACAAGTGACTGTGATGAGTGCGGCCCTCGAGAAAGAGAGTCCACGGAATCCATTGCCTCGGCAGTCAATCGGGACCAGAAAATATCGCCACCATTGCCGCCGATATCCAGTTTTCGTCAGCATCGCAGTCAGATGCAACAGTTGCTTTAGTCATAGTCTCATGTGGGAGCTTCCGAAAGTAGAGGGTACCTTATTTTGGGGTCCTTATAATAAGGATCCTACTATTTAGGGTACTATAATCGGGTCCTCTATATTCGGAAACCCACATGTCAGGACAAGAACAGACCTAGGTCTACAGTAGGTCTTGCTTGCGCTGCGTCCAGGCTTTGCACTCAACTCGAGATGGCGGTGCATCGGATTTCACTGCCAGGGCTCACTCGATGCGGCCTCAGCAGGGATTTGAGCATGTCGCATGCTTACAAGGGGGGGAGTCCCCTAAACCCTAAACCCTGAACCCTAAACCGGTTCATTCCGGAGGTGAAGTCAACCTCGAGTCTGCGCGCGCTCGGCTCAGCCAGGATACCGGACCCTGAACCTGAACGGATGAGTTGCGAACATGACGGCTGGTACTGGTACTAACATATATATATATATATACACATATATATATATATATGAGATATATATATATATATATGCGACGACGAGAGTTCTTGCGAGCATCAGCATTTGTTTTCAGCATCTCGAACAAGCCTTGATGAATTGAGGTATGAAGCGAGAGCGTACTTGGCTGGCGCTGTCCGCCAAGCAGCTGGGAGCCCAGTAGCTCTGGGCCGATAGTCGGTCGATAGTCTAAGTATATGGGTAAAGTAGGGTACCTTTTCGAGTTCTTTTTAGAAGGGTGCCATACCATATTGGGGACCTAAAAATGGACCCTACTTTAGAGAACTACCCATACGGCCGGGCACCTCGCAATAATTATTCAGCGTTGGCGAGACAGACCCCTTGGCCCCTTGACAACAGAAAATGAACGTGCTACACGCTAGCACTTGATCAGTTGTTTGGTTTGCTGTTGCAGAAGGCATCGCAAGTTTCTAGAACTCTCGGAAACTACACTTCAGCGTGAAGGTGCCTGAAGGTGCTTTGCAGTGTTCTGTGAGCGTGCTAGCGTACAGTGGTTGAACACCTGAGCCTGTTTGCAAGTTGACATGAAACTCACTGGTATATTCGTGGAAACCCTAAACCCTAAACCCTAGACCCTAACTTGCACCATGCATAGACTCCCAAACTCCCATACCGGGCTGCATCTTCCGCTCCTTACGACGAATGTGCGGCAGGTCCAAGCTGTTAGATTGCATGGCGCGACGGACGGTCAGAACCCCAGATGCAGAGACCTTCCGATATCCCTCTATTGAGGAATATAATACCTTATTAAACTATAGTAGGATCCCTAGTGTGATATAGTGCATATTGCTTAAGCAAGGGATATGGGAATGTCTGGGTACTTGCAAGAAGTTGAACCGTGGAAGCTCGGTATGACTACTACCCAAGTTTGAATTACTGTTTAACCGTTTAGCCTGCTGCAGGTGGTACTACTACTAGTATGACGACGACGATTACTACTGTTGCTACTGCTACCACCACCACCGCCACCGCCACCGCCCCCACCGCCAACACCGCCACCACCCCCACCACCACCACCTCCACCACCATCACCACCACCACCAACTACCACTGCTACAAATCTTTAATTATCACTACTTCTACTACTACTACTACTACTACTACTACTACTACTCCTACTACTACCACTACTACCACTACTACCACTGCTACCACTACTACCACAACTACCACTACTACCACTACTACCACTACCTCGACTATAACTACTTTACGACGACTACCAGGCCGCTGCATTGAAGTCGGGAGTTCGCAGACAGAAGCCACAAATCAAGCGAAAAGATGCGCCGAGCCAAATCGCTCAACATGCCAAGCTCAAAAGTGCCCCTTGCCAAATCATAACGCGAACACATGTTCCAATGTTTTTGCCCGAACGCACACAATCAGTTCGATTTCAATACGTACCATGGCTTCGTCTGCATCGCCGAGTAATCAAGTAAGCCTTGTCTTGATCGAAACACCTCAGTGCTGCGGGCTGAAGGTGTCCTACAGACTTACGGTCAGGCCCCTGAACCCTAAACCCTAAACCCTAAACCCTAAACCCTAAACCCTATCTGTTGGACGGCTCCACCCTGGCGGTGCCTCAAGATGCCTTGACGTCTTCTTGTAGTGGTCGTGTTGCTGCAGCATCCTTCTAACAAGGACCCGCCAAAATAGTATAGGTAGTTATTTAGGACCATATTATTGAGGCCCCCATATTATTTAGGCCCCCATATTAAGCTTCAAAACTTTACATTCGGGCATTAAAATTATCTGGAAGAATATGGCAGGCAGTTGGCGGTTCTCACCGTAGCAGCATCTGCCTGTCTGTTCGGTAGACTGCCTTACGTAAACAAAGCCAGCAAAACTCTGACACAAACAAACCCCACACGCTATCATTTTTTTGTAAAGGAGCTGGCTGCTGCCAAAGACCAGCTGGAAAGCCTGGATTCCGCGGCCTTTGTGCATGTCTCAGCTTTGACTATACGAAGAGGTCTTCATTGAGTTTGCATGACTGCTGCTATGAAAGGTTGAGGATTGACAGTTGAAGCAAGGTCGGAAGAGTTGTGTAGGTTTGCGTTGATATTCAACCTTGGATTGCTTGTTTGGCTTATCCGCTGCTGGTCCGCAGGATCATAGACTCAGATCCTTTACTGGAACCTAAACCCTAAACCCTATACCTTATGGCAGCGTGAATGTCTCGTCACGTCGTTGCAACACTGCATCTCTTCAAGACTCTCGACTTCTGCCTTTTCCTGCCTTGTACCTTGCCCCGTCTTGGCCTAATGTAGGGGCCTTAATAATTAGAATAGGGCTTTTGGGGTTCCTTTTTGCAATTATAGTATAGTATAACCCAAAATCCTATTCTAATTATTAAGGCCCCTATCTTAAGGGCTTGCAGGTTAGACTTGTGGTTTGGGATGTTCCCTCGCTGCCCAGGCCGCGTGGAGAATAGAGAAGACGTTTAAAAGGCCTGGCAACGAAGTGGGGTTAGGGTTTAGGGTTTTGGGTTTTGGGTTTAGGGTTTGGGTTTAGGGTTTAGGGTTTTGGGTTTAGGGTTTAGTGTCTTTCCAGCCGTGTGCGTCGCCTACGTGAGTTGATAGAGATCTTCAGACCCCATGGCAACGCAATAACAATTTCCATCATCGCAGACAGAGTTGTAACCCCGATCGAGTAAGACTAATTAGTGTTCTGTAAGCCTTAAACCTTCGCAATTCCGTAAGGACTAAGTTTTGCTATACACGCACCGCTGCATCGCAAATCCTGAACCCCTACGCCCCGAAACCCGGCCACATACCCCGTTCTTGCATGGTCATCTCACACTCTCTCTCTCTCTCTCTCTTTCTCTCTCTCTCTCCTTCTGTACCGCTCTCTCCCTCTCTCCTTCTTTCTCTCTCCCGCTATCTCTCTCTCTCCCTGTCTCTCTCTCTCTCTCGCTATCTCTCTCTATGTACATATAATAAGCAAACAGACAAGCATAATTGCGTGTAAGCATATGTATATATGCATATATATATACACACACATACATTCACATAAATGCATGCATACATACATACATGCATGCTTACTTACTCACTCACTGACTTACTTACATGCATACATACATGCATACCTTGGTACATACATACATACATACATACATACATACATACATACAAGCATACATACAAGCATACATACAAGCAAGCATACATACATACATACATACATACATACATACATACATACATATATACATACATACATACATATATGCAGACATGCAGACATGCAGGCATGCATGCATACATTCATCCTCGCATATGTATATATATATATATATACATATGCAGACACACGCATGTATGCACTTATGTATGGATATGTGCATGCATGCATGCATGCATGCCTCCATGACCGTGTGTGCGTATACAAAATCGGGAGTGCTTACATAAGGGCTTCCGCGTTGCAGTGCAATTTTTTTGTTTCGGGGAAATCTGTGAGGGCTGCGCTGATTGCGTTCTGGAAGCCGCCCCGCGTGCGTTTGGCAAGCGACTCGCTTTGCAAGGAAGTGCACGCTGCCTGATGAACGTCCGCAACTCGCAGGCGAAATTCTCCAAAACTTAGAATCTTGCGACGCAGATGCAAATCGGGATGTGGCTGTGAATCTGAACGGCTATTCTGAGACAGAGGTATTGAAAGATCATATGCAATTGATTCCTTGATCCATAATTTCGGTGACATCCGAGCAACTCTCACCTTTATTTGCATGTTGGCATTGGCCACAGCAGACGTCGAAAAGGCCCGTACATACAGGCGCTATTTTTGCAGCTAACTTCGTCGCTATTTTTTAGGCAGATTTTGAGCATATTTTTCTAACGATTCTAACCCGACTTTAAAAAAAAACCTGATTGGCGTGGAAATTGGCACAAAAATCGGCGCAGGAATCGGCGCATGCAGATTCGTACCGGAATCAACGTATGAGCTGGCGTTTGAATCGGCGAATGAATATGGAAGT